TCCCTAAGAGAAGTGCTAAAAGTCTTCTGGTGGGAAACATTTTTAAAGCCCCCACTATGTTTCCAATAAAAGAGAAAGAAAATAATGAGGAAAAGGAAAAGACTGAAAGCTGGTGAATAGATATAGCAGGTGAAAAGCAACTGATCTGGGAACTCTGAGTAACTGTGTTAGGGGACAACATTAATCCCTGAAGGAGCCTGCAATCTAAATCCAGTTGAAGTGTACACACACACACACACACACACACACACACACACACGCACAAATATTTTTTATATATAAATCTATGGAACACATTACTATAGTAAGGGTATTGTTATGAAATGAATGTTATGCTCCCCCCAGCCCCAAACTCATATGTTGAAATTTTAATTCCCAATAAGGTAGTTTTAGCAGTGACGCCTCTGGGAGGTAGAGCCCTCATGAATGACATTAATGCCCTTATAAGAGATCTCAAAGAGTTCTCTTACTCCTTCTACTATGTGAGGACACAGTGAAAAGATGGACGTGTTTATGAACCAGGAAGTAGGTCCTCACCAGACAGAGAATCTGCTAACACCTTGATCTTGGATTTCCTAGCCTCCAGAACTGTGAAAAATAAATTTTTGTTGTTATACATCACCCAGTCCATGCAGGTATTGATAGTATTCAATTTTTAAATGTACATTTTGAATAAATATATACTTACCTTTCAGGAGAACTTTATTGATCCACAAATCTAACTGACACTTGAAAATGCATGCTCTTGTTACGAGTCAAAGATAACTTCAGGCTCAGTACAACAGAGTTCTCCCAATACAAGCCTCGGTTGGCAAATAGGAAGTAAAGGGGAATCAAGAAATAAAAGTCAGCTGAGTTCTCCTTCAACTGAGCTGCAGGAAGAACAGCAAAGACCTAGAAAAATAAATAAATAAAATAGTTTCAAATATTCCTATGCCAGAAGGAACCTTAAACCAAAGCAGACGATGCAAAAGGCAGGCAGAAAAAATTTATGTCATAATATTTTAGGTTCTTAGGAGACAAATATTAGCCTACTCATTCATCACCCTTTCCATTATCTATTTTAACTCCTGGAAGAGAATCATTTTATAATACCTACAATAAAAAGCATTTTCATACCAAAAAGAACAAAAAAAATCCAAAATATCTCAAAATAAAACAAATCAACTGTTAGAACTTCATTTCATTAAAAATGACATAAAAATGTTCAAGTAACAAACATATTATTCTAATATGTAGCAAAATATCAAGTATTAAAAGCACATGAAATAAAAAAAAATGGAAATCTGAAAACAAATGTGAAAAAAATTCCATTGAAAATGGATTCCAAAGCAATAATAAAACGTTAAATTAGAAAACAGATGTATCAGTGTGGCAAGTAAATATTATTTGTGAATTAAAAATTAATTTCCATAGCCTTTTTGCCTAGAGAAAGAGAAAACTTTCTTATCACCTTTAATAATATACTTTCACAAATCATTTCTGACATAGATATATCTCTACATTTAATCTGTAAGAATGACAACTGAATTTCTTAAACAGCTACCCAAGTTAAGAATATCTTAATAATAATAAATTACTAAACATATTATTATCATTCTCCTCTAGATTTCATTCTGTATTAGTTTACTCCCCATACTTATTGATGGCTCAGCATATATACAAAAGGACAACAGTAATTAGGTAATATAATGTAAAACATAAATTGATAACATAGAACTGAAAAAGATAATATATAACTGAAACCTATGGAGATTCAAAAGAAATTAATTACTGAAAACACATTTTAGCATCATATGCTATTAAAACCAAATAATAAGGTATGATTTCTAAAGAATAGGAATGAATGTGGCATTGATGTCTAGACAGATTTCCAGAAACTTTTTTGTGCCCTTGTACTGAATACAATTCATGTTTCATTTGTTTAAGAAAATGCTTGATCACATTCTGATATAGCATTTCCTTATTTTAACTTTGAATCTTACCTGAAAAAGTTACAAACAACATGTTTCTAAATTACATAATATACATATGAAAAATATCTAAATATTGTCAGCAACTCCTTAGACAGCAATACAGTCACATGGCTTTTCTGGATGATTGAACTAAAAATTGCTAAACCACTAAAATAAAGCATGTCTCTATTTCTCATCTTTTCCTTGTAAAAATACAGACCATTTTTATTCTGTGGATGACTCTTTAAGAGTGAAAGACATTCAAATATCTTGCAACTATTCCAGCACATGTGCATATGATGAATGTATGTTTATATAAGATAATATATATCGTCATAATAATATGTCAATACTACTCAGCGAATGATGGCTATTCCTTCAGAAAGTATGACAGTAACCAAAAGAAAAAGTGACACTACAATCAGTGTCCTGAGTAGTTGTAATTTGTTTTGTTTCTAAATACACACTTTATATCTAGGTCAATTTTATATTTCTTACATTGCTAGGATTGTAATTTACTTCTTATTTTGACAGGATATATCCAATAAAAGATCTCACTGACATACCATCAGAGAAACTAAGAAGGGAGGGAAAAAACTACAGGCAGAATTAGGAAACTTGAAGACTACCTGTACAGAGAGACTGTATGAAACAACTAGACTTTCTCAGCAATCCATGTGCAGAAGAAATGTTTACCATAGACTCACTGAAAGGATATACCAGTTCTTTTTCTAGTTATTCCCCAAGGAATTGCATAAATACTGAGAAATCTAGAAATAGACATACACATGCACATATAAAATTTATTGTCAGTGTATAAGTTACTGCTGCCCTGGGACTGCAATAATTTATGTAACATCTGTTTTCATATTTTTCTAATTTTTTTTCCTAATTAACATGCATATTTAACGCATAAATGCTCAGACCACCTCTTTTTTTCTGCTGATTGTGCCTCTTTATTTTTGAAGTTGTGTACTCCTAAGGAGAATTCAGGATGGAAAGAAACCAAAATCTTATTGAAAGCACTAATTTTAAAATGCAAACAAAGTACTAAATCAATTTTCAAAAAAATACTAAAGTCTTAAGAGTTTTCACAAGAACATTTCAATCTGCCAACAACGGTCATGCAGTAAATTAAGGTCCAAATACCAAAAAACAACTAAGAACATAATTCCAATATTATATTAATCATCTTGATTTTTCTTTAACTTTTTATAAGAGTTGAGAAACTTATTATAACATCTATAATTTCTTGTCTTTATAAATTTTGGTAGTATTTAAAAATTTTTATGCCTCAGGCGACAAATATAAATGAACACATTCCATATAATAAACATCAAAAAGGATGTAACCAACTATATCATTTTTAAATTGTAAATTTCAAATACTGTGCAGATGTGAGGAAAGAGAACTTTTTACTTTAAAGCTCATTCATGTACAATCAGCTTCTGGAAGCTCTTAATCAGAACTGGGAAAATCAAAATTCAAAATACTCTTATATTTATTTTTAATGAAAAAAGTAAAATAGAGGCTGATCAAGCCAGTGCTACAATAACTAAACTATTCCCAAATAACAATGGCTAAAATGCCAGCACTGTGACTCCATCTGTACTTACCTCATTTCAGAATTAATCACTGTATTTTAATTGCCTAGTTATGTACTTCAGTCAGTCATATAATATTTCTCATCTGTTATCAGGGCTGTTTGTAGACAATGAAATTGTGTCAGCTCTCCTAGACCTTACAATTTATTTGGGGAAACAGTACCCAATAACCATGCAAATACATAATTGCAAACGAAGATAAATGCTAATGTTGCCCCAATAATTTTTAATTAAAAAAAATTTTTTTAAATAAATTAAATTAGATAGATATTTAAAAAAATATGGGGAGCCAAGATTTTATAACAGGGGACTTGATTTAGCCCAAAGACTGGCACAGACTTAAACAAAGACTGTTTAAGATGAGATCAAAAAGGTATGGCAAGTGTTCCCATCTGGGCACAAGTGCAAAGGTCTAAACGTAGTTATGATTCCTGTATCTTTTGTATCATAACTGCCATATGCAAAAGCATGAAACTAGACTGCTATCTGTCACCATACACCAAAATTAACTCAAAATGGACCAAAAACTGAAATATAAGACCTACAACAATTAATTGCATAGAAGAAAACATAGGTACTAAACTCATGGACTTAAGAGAGGATTTTATGAATTTGACCTCAAAGGCAAGGAAAATAAAAACAAAAATAAATGAATGAGACTATATCAAATTAAAAAGCTCTGCACAGCAAAAGAAACCATCGAAAAAACAAAGAAGCAACCAAATGAATGTGAGAAAATATTTGCAAACACCACCTCTGATAAAAGGCTAATATCCAAAACATATAAAGAACTCATACAATCATACAATTCAACAAATAAACAAACAATTCTATTAAAAAATGGGCAGAGAACCTAAACAGACACTTCTCCCATTAGAAGACATACAAATGGCCAACATACATGAAAAGATGCTCAATTTCACTAGCTATTAGGAAAATGTTAGTCAAAACCACAATGAGACATCACCTCACACCTGTTAGAATGGCATAATATCATCAACAAGTAATGACAAGTGCTGGAGAGGTTGTGGGCAAAAAAGAACCCACATACACTGCTGGAAGGAATGTAAACTGGTATAGCCACTACGGAAAAACACTATGGAGGTTCCTCAAAAAATTAAGAATTGAATTACCATATGACCCAACGATCCCTCTTCTGGGTATTTATCTCCAAAATTTGAAAACATTTATCCATAAAGATATATGTAACCTGATGTTCACTGCAGCATGATTCACAGTACACAGTGGCCAAGACATGGAAACAACCGAAGGGCCCTTTGGTAGATGACTGGATAAAGAAGATGTGGTACATATATACAGTGAATATTACTCAGCCATAAGAAAAGATGAACTACTGCCATTTGCGACAACATGGATGGATCTTGAGATTATCATGCTAAGTGAAATAAGTCCGACAGAAAAAGTTGAGAACCATATGATTTCACTTATGTGTGGGACATGAAACTGAAAGCAACAAACAAATAAAAATTCATAGACACAGACAACAGTCTAGTGATTACCAAAAGGAAAGAGGCGGGAGGTAAGTAAATAAGGATAAAGTGGGCCAAATGTACATTGATGGAAAGAAAATAACTTTGGGTGGTGAACATACAGTGCAATACACATATGATATATTACTGAACTGCACACTTGAAATCTATGTAATTTTATTAACCATTGTTGCCCCAATAAATTTTAATAAATAAAAATAGTTGGTCCAAAAACAATAAAAAGTGAAATAAAAGCAGTTATGAGATAAGCACTTTCAAAGTCAATAGAGCCAGAGAAGCCAGTCACAGCTAGAGAGGGAACATACATGAAACAAAATGGGCAGAAAAAGTCAATAAGGCAAAATTACTAAAGGGTTTTAAATAAGGTATAGCAATAAATTATAAGTTAAAAATATACCAAATCTGGCTGAATTACAGAAAGGGGCAAGAGAGGTGCAGGGGAGGAGTTAGGTGTGAGATGACAGGAGCTTAGAATAAACCTATGACAGTGAATGAAGATGGAGAGAAGGCAGAAAGATTTGTGGGATAACAATCAGCAGAGTTTGGTGGAAGATTAGATTTTGTGGGGATGCAGATGGATAGCAACTCCATTCACTGATATAAGGAACCCTGGAAGATCAGTTGTCATTAGAAAAAAGTCCAAGTTTAGGCTTGGACATGTTAAGTAAGGGGCGACCTGTTGAAGATGTCCTGTAGGCGTTTCGGTATAAATATCTGGAGCTGTAAGAAGAATCTGGAGCTTTAAGGCTCTGGGCTAGATAAAATTTAGAATTTATCGGGATATTAGTAGTAAAAAAAAAAATATTAGAATCCTACATTCTTTT